TGCCTCAGCCTCAGCCTCAGCCTGCCTCAGCCTCAGCCCGCATCAGCCTCAGCCTCAGCCTGCCGCAGCCGCAGCTTGCCTCAGCCTCAGCCACTGCCTCAGCCTCAGCCTCAGCCTGCCTCAGCCACAGCCTCAGCATCAGCCTCAGCCTCAGCCTCAGCCTCAGCCTCAGCCTCAGCCTCAGCCTGCCTCAGCCTCCTGAGCCTGCCTCGGCCTCAGCCTCAGCCTGCCTCAGCCTCAGCCTGCCTCAGCCTCAGCCTCAGCCTGTCTCAGCCTCAGCCTGCCTCAGCATCAGCCTCAGCCTCAGCCTCAGCCTGCCTCGGCTTGCCTCGGCCTCAGCCTCAGCCTGCCTCGGCCTCAGCCTCAGCCTTAGCCTGCCTCAGCCTCAGCCTCAGCATGCCTCAGCCTCAGCCTGCATCAGCCTCAGCCTCAGCCTGCCTCAGCCGCAGCTTGCCTCAGCCTCAGGCACAGCCTCAGCCTCAGCCTCAGCCTCAGCCTGCATCAGCTTCAGCCTCAGCCTCAGCCTGCCTCGGCTTGCCTCAGCCTCAGCCTCAGCCTGCCTCGGCGTCAGCCTCAGCCTCAGCCTGCCTCAGCCTCAGCGTCAGCCTCTCAGCCTCAGCTTGCATCAGCCTCAGCCTCAGCCTCAGCCTGCCTCAGCCTCAGCCTCAGCCTGCCTCAGCCTCAGCCTGCCTCAGCCTCAGCCTCGGCCTGCCTCAGCCGCAGCTTGCCTCAGCCTCAGCCACTGCCTCAGCCTCGGCCTCACCCTGCCTCAGCCTCAGCCTCAGCCTGCCTCGGCGTGCCTCAGCCTCAGCCTCAGCCTGCCTCGGCCTCAGCCTGCCTCGGCCTCAGCCTGCCTCAGCTCTGGCATTCAAAATATGGTACAGGAATTATGTTCCGGGAACACGAAGAACACGAAGTGGCCTACAGTTGGCTCTGGGCATTCAAAATGTGCCCTGGGAATGGTGTTCTGGGAACACGATGAACACGAAGTGGCCTACAGTTGGCTCCGGGCATTCAAAATGTGGCCTGGGAATGGTGTTCTGGGAATGGATTCCTAAGGATTCCGAAGAAATCCTGAGGATTCCTAAGGATTCCTGGGGCTGTCCGGATCTGCCTGGATCTGTCCGGATCCCGCCCAGACCCCCCTGCGGCGTCAAGATGCTCTCTTTTGACCCCACTAGAAACCTATCAGCAAAAGCTGTTAGGTAAAAAACGGCCGCCATGCTTTTGCGAATTCTGAAGAAAAGCAATAGTTTTCAGCATGCTCATCAAATGCTACAAAACGGGCCTCTCGCGCGCGCCTATCGCATAAATCCCTTTGACATAATTATCTCGGCAAAGCAACCTAACAGCGATGTATATAAGCATATCTGGAAGCATTCCCTAAAGATTCAGGTGAGAATCCAGCTGTAGAATTCGGCTGTTCTCGCAGTCGCAGTCGCATTCGCAATGACAGTCGCAGTGGCAACGGCCTTAGGATCCAATGGAATCCTAAGGATTCCTAGGGACTCCTAAGGCATCCTTAGGCATCCTTAGGAATCCATAGGAATCCTTAGGAAACCTTAGGAATCCTTAGGAATCCTGATTCCTATGGATTCCTAGGGATTCCTGAGGATTACTAGGGAACCCTAAGGATTCCGAAGGATTCGCCTGCCTCGGCCTCAGCCTCAGCCTGCCTCAGCCTCTGCCTGCCTCAGCATCAGCCTCAGCCTCAGCCTCAGCCTGCCTCGGCTTGCCACGGCCTCAGCCTCAGCCTGCCTCAGCCTCAGCCTCAGCCTGCCTCAGCCTCAGCCTGCATCAGCCTCAGCCTCAGCCTGCCTCAGCCGCAGCTTGCCTCAGCCTCAGCCACAGCCTCAGCCTCAGCCACAGCCTCAGCCTCAGTCTCAGCCTGCATCAGCCTTAGCCTCAGCCTCAGCCTGCCTCGGCTTGCCTCAGCCTCAGCCTCAGCCTGCCTCGGCCTCAGCCTCAGCCTCAGCCTGCATCAGCCTCAGCCTCAGCCTCAGCCTCTCAGCCTCAGCCTGCATCAGCCTCAGCCTCAGCCTCAGCCTGCTTGGCCTCAGCCTCAGCCTCAGCCTGCCTCAGCCTCAGCCTCAGCATGCCTCAGCCTCAGCCTGCATCAGCCTCAGCCTCAGCCTGCCTCAGCCGCAGCTTCAGCCTCAGCCTGCCTCGGCTTGCCTCAGCCTCAGCCTCAGCCTGCCTCAGCCTCAGCCTCAGCCTCAGCCCGCCTCAGCCTCAGCGTCAGCCACTCAGCCTCAGCCTGCATCAGCCTCAGCCTCAGCCTCAGCCTGCCTCAGCCTCAGCCTCAGCCTGCCTCAGCCTCAGGCTGCATCAGCCTCAGCCTCGGCCTCGGCCTCAGCCGCAGCTTGCCTCAGCCTCAGCCTCTCCGCCTCTCAGCCTCAGCCTGCATCAGCCTTAGCCTCAGCCTCAGCCTGCCTCGGCCTCAGCCTCAGCCTCAGCCTGCCTCAGCCTCAGCCTCAGCATGCCTCAGCCTCAGCCTGCATCAGCCTCAGCCTCAGCATGCCTCAGCCTCAGCCTCAGCCTCAGCTTCAGCCTCAGCCTCAGGCTGCATCAGCCTCAGCCTCAGCCTGCCTCAGCCGCAGCTTGCCTCAGCCTCAGCCACTGCCTCAGCCTCAGCCTCAGCCTGCCTCAGCCTCAGTCTCAGCCTCAGCATGCCTCGGCTTGCCTCAGCCTCAGCCTCAGCCTGCCTCGGCCTCAGCCTCAGCCTCAGCCTGCCTCAGCCTCAGCGTCAGCCTCAGCCTCAGCAGCCTCAGCCTCAGCCTGCAGCCTCAGCCTCAGCCTCAGCCTCAGCCTCAGCCTGCCTCAGCCAGCCTGCCTCAGCCTCAGCCTCAGCCTGCCTCGCCTCAGCCTCAGCCTCAGCCTCAGCCTGCCTGCCTCAGCCTCAGCCTCAGCCTCGGCCTCAGCCTCAGCCTTCCTCAGCCTCAGCCTCATCAGCCTCAGCCTCAGCCTCAGCCTGCCTCAGCCTCAGCCTGCCTCAGCCTCAGCCTCAGCCTCAGCCTCAGCCTGCTCAGCTTCAGCCTCAGCCTCAGCCTGCCTCGGCTTGCCTCAGCCTCAGCCTCAGCCTGCCTCGGCCTCAGCCTCAGCCTCAGCCTCAGCCTCAGCCTCAGCCTCAGCGTCAACCTCTCAGCCTCTGCCTGCATCAGCCTCACCCTCAGCCTCAGACTGCTTCAGCCTCAGCCTTAGCCTGCCTCAGCCTCAGCCTGCATCAGCCTCAACTTCAGCCTGTCTCAGGCTCAGCCTCAGCCTGCCTCAGCCTCAGCCTGCCTCAGCCTCAGCCTCAGCCTGCCTCGGCATGCCTCAGCCTCAGCCTCAGCCTGCCTCGGCCTCAGCCTGCCTCAGCTCGGGCATTCAAAATATGGCGCAGGACTGGTGTCCTGGGAACACGAAGATCACGAAGTGGCCCACAGTTGGCTCCAGGCAATCAAAATATGGTACAGGAATGGTGTTCTTGGAACACGAAGAACACGAAGTGGCCTACAGCTGGCTCCGGACATTCAAAATGTGGCCTGGGAGTGGTGTTTTGGAAACACGATGAACACGAAGTGGCCTACAGATGGCTCAGGGCATTCGAAATGTGGCCTGGGAATGGCGTTCAAGGAAGACGAAGAACACGAAGTGGCCTACAGTTGGCTCCGGGCATTCAAAATGTGGCCTGGGAATGGTGTTCTGGAAACACGATGAACACGAAGTGGCCTACAGTTGGTTCCGGGCATTCAAAATGTGGCCTGGGAATGGTGTTCTGGGAACACGACGAACAGGAAGTGGCCTACGGTTGGCTCTGGGCATTCAAAATGTGGCCTGAGAATGGTGTTCTGGGAATGGATTCCCAAGGATTCCTAAGGATTCCTAAGGATTCATAAGGATTCATAAAAGATTCGTGGGGCTGTCCGGATCTGTCCGGATCCCGCCCAGACCCCCCTGGAGCGTCAAGCTGCTCTCTTTTGAAACCACTAGAAACCGATCAGCAAAAACTATTAGGTAACAACAACGATGTGCACACGCGCGCGTCGTCGGGCGCGCACGCCGAAATCCTTCAAAAACCTGAAATGTCGGAAGGATGTCAAAATCGAGAGCCCCGAAAACAAATGACAAACATGTGGTTTCACATAAATTACCAGTTGTTGAACAAAAACTGCGCTCGAGCATTTACAGAACTTTACGGAAACTGTTGGCTGTCCAGCATGTTCAATGCATTCTGCCAAGCGGACCTCTCGCGCCGCATGTCGAAATCATTCGAACGGCCTTGCGCGCGTGCTGGGGGGGGGGGCGGGCACGATCCGTGTCAAATAATACCACGCGGTCTACTCTCCGAGCGCGCATGTCGAATTCCTTCCAAACAACCTTCATTACCGACGCGAGGACGCCGTCATCGTCGTCGGCGTGATCAGCATCGGCGCCGTCACTGGCCGTGCAATCGACGTTATCACCATCGTCACCAGCATCGCTACTATCATCATCGTGTTTGTTGTCGGCGTTGCCATAATACCGCGCCCATCCAAGCCGCCGACTCGCACTGAAGCCCCGCTGAGAAGTGCCCAGCGGTCAGCGCCACCGCGGCCGCGTCGGTCGCGCCAAACTAGCTGGCCGCTGCGCGCGCGAGCATGCGCGGGATAGCGCGGTCGCAGAATTGCACCAACCAACGCCAAGCACTCATCGCAATCGCCGCCGCACGGGTTCTGCAAACCAAATTGCGGGTGGATGGGTGGGAGGATTGCGCGAGCAGTGGAGTTGACAACTGCGAGCGAGACCCACAAATAAAGTGCACCACATAGATTGCACCACGCACTGGAAAATAAAGATTGCGCACACATAGATCGCCCCTCATAGGTTGCACCACTTCGATTGCACGTCGACTGCACAACAGAATCTGCACAACATTTATTGCCAGAAAGCACTGTTTGGTGCTCACGTTGGCTAACATTTAAAACAACATATTCGCCAGGCCGTCGTCCTCCTCCTCCAGAGGACCCCCCGTGAGCGGCCTCCTTGCTTGCCCTGCTGGGCGGGGCTCCAGCGGCCTCCTGCATGGCGCGGGTCGGGCCCGCCATTAGGCCCGGGCAGCCCACGGGTGCGCCCTTGCCTGAGATCGGAAGCAGCGCGCACTCGGGGGGGAGGGGGGCGAAGACGCGAGGAGCGTACGATGAGAGACGAAGACGGCAGGAGGAGGAGGAGGACGACGACGAGATGGAGGAAGAGGAGGAGGAGGAGGAGGAGAAGGCGAAGGCAGAGGCAGATAGATGGAGAGGAAGAGGAGGAGGAGGAGGAGGCGGAGGAGGAGGGGGAGGAGGAGGTAGGAAAAAAGAGGAGGAAGCAGGTGGAGGGAGGAGGGAGGGAGGAAGAGCGAGGAGGGAGGCGGAGGGCGCCGAGACTCTCTAATGCTCCACTTCGGGCGTTGTGCACAAGTTCTCGAACGGACTGTTATACTCCTCCTGGTCTGGAGGCCGTCCTGGCGAACCGCGGGATGCTCTGGTCGGTCTCCACGGAGGTAAACACAGTCAACGCGTAGAATAAGGATGCACGATAAGGATGTAAAGGCCTTGGAAGGCCGTGCCGACACCTTTCGAGCGGGCCGCGGCCAGCGAGAGTGGCCAAGGATGGGTCGAAGGGGAAGGATGCAAGGGTAACCTTGGAAAGTCGCTCATCCTTACGATGCGCGTTGACTATATTACGTATGTCTGCCCTGGCTATTGTCGCATCTCTCTCCTGTCTTGACGCGCATAGGCGTCCTCCCTCTGCCCTGCATTCCCTAGTACGGAAAAGACGTCAAATCTGGCCGATATGGCGCGCCGCATCATAACAACATGTGGAACTCTTCGTAATACGATGAGGGTCCTGGATAGGGGACCATTGAATACGGTCGGACCTAGGCTAGCATAACCTCCTTCAAGAACGCGAGACCCTCCGCTAGCAAAAACACAGAGAACATACCAGCGTACCCACCGCAGGATGCACAAGAACACACAACAAACACAAAAAATGCGAACGCCCCCCCCCGCCGCGGCCGGGGGCCTTCCGCCGGGCCCTCAACGTATTGGCGGCGAGCGAGGGGAGGGAACGGGAAGGAGAAGGCCTTTTCAGAAGGCGGCGAGACTTCTCAGAAGTTCTTGTTCCCTCTGAAAAGTTGTTGGTTGCGTTTTCGGGGATAGGCCTAGAAGTCTGCTCAGAAGGCCGGGGGACTTCCGAGCCTTCCCTGCGATCCGACGCGGCGGCAAACTTGCAGCATCATCAAAAATCACGCCGGGAGCCGTAGACCATATATTTCTGCGTCATTTCTCGCGCTGGATCGATATGTCAAGGTCCCAGGGCCCGCAAGAAAGGCGAGCACGCCCGGCTCAAAGAAAAAATGGAGACGCCAGGACCTCAGGCTCCGAAAATGACCCGCCCCGTCTTAGTTCCCCCCCGAGCCCGCCGCCGATCTAGGCCTTTGGGGAGGTTTCGAAAAATGCTCAAGATGATTCTGGCCAAAAAAAATTGGGAGGGGACCTAAGTCAGGAGGGACAGGAACAGGAGGGATCGGGGGCTTCTTTCTGCAAGGATATCGAAACAAGCCGCCCAGAAGTATCATCCCTAACGCGAAAACGAAGACCTCAATGACGCTGCGTCATCCTCGTGTGATTAGGGCTAGGGTTAGGTCGGGCATGTCCCCCTGAAGGCGGATTGGGGGTAAATCGTATGTCATAGATATGTGGTTCCTTTCCAACGTATACATCTATTCCAAGTTGTCAAACTAAAAACAAAAATAAATTACGCGACCGAGAAGCCCCACATACTTATATGATGGCTGGAGTGACGATAGCTGAAGTGAAGCATGTGATAATGATGCTGGTGGCCGTTGCCCCGTCGATACCATTGGTGACGCCAGTCAAGAGGATAGGAGGGAGGAAAATGGAGAGGAGATACGATAAGTTTTTTGTTTAATACACATGCGAAGCGATCTGCAGCGCCCACGAAGCAACGAACACTATGGAACGCGATCTTCGGCGGAAAGCCTCTGATCAGATCTGAGAGAAAGAAAAATGCGAAGGAACGCAACCTTCGGCGAAAAAACTCTGGCAGGGTCCAAGAGATAATAAAAAAACGGAACGCTGTCTTCGGCAGAAAGCCTCTGACCGACCCTCAAGCCAATGCAACATATGACAAATCGCCTGGACAGGCCGTTGCGATAGCCGTTAAAAAAGCGGCACGGACATGGCACATTTGGGCGCCATGACGGGATGTCACCGTGTCTATGATCACACTTGGCGGCCAGAGAAAGAGACTGTTGCTCGAGCCGAAAGTGCCCTCTACGCAACCCCTGGACGACAGGCTCGGATAGCGGCCGCGCACACAGACCGCCCCCATCGCACTTCCTGCGGTGTCGAGCAAGTGCCACGCCTGCTTTGCCCTGGACGACTGGATCGGATAACGGCCGCGCACAAAGACCACCCCCTCCGCACCCCGTATGGTGTCGAGATAATGCCACGCCTCCTACGCCCTGGACGACCGGTTCGGATAGCAGCCGCGCTCATCATCACGATCATCATCCGCCTCAGAATCATCATGATCATCCCCATCGCCATCACAATCACCATCACCATCACCGTCACCATCATCAGCATCATCATCACCATCATTATCACCACCATCAACACCACCATCATCACCATCACCACCATCACCATCATCACTATCAACACCCTTATCATCGTCAACATCACCATCACAACCTCCATTATCATCATAATCATCATCATCCCCCTCGTCATCGTCATCGTCACCTCCATCGCCATCACCATCAGCACAATCATCGTCACCGACATCATCATCATCATCATCATCATCATCATCATCATCATCATCATCATCATCATCATCATCATCATCATCATCACCATCATCCTCAACAACAACAGCACCAGCAGCAGCTGCATCGTCTCCATCACCATCGCCACCATCGCCACCATCGTCACCATCACCATCACCAGCACAATTACCGTCACCATCAGCACCATCATCATGAGCATCCCCACCGGTATCATCAACAACAGCAGCATCGCATACACCATCCTCATCCTCGCCCTCATCCCACCACGGCTCTCCCACCCTCGAACAGTCGCCACGCAGAATGCTGGGCTGGCACGGCGGCTGGACCTGCCGCAGGCAGCTGGATGTCGTTCCCCGGACGGCATGGCCAGAAAGCGCCCGCCACGGAGCGCACCTTTTGTTGCCAGCGAGTGGGAGCCCAGCGGCAGAGCGCAGGGGAACGACGCGACGCGACGACGCAACGGCGGACGACAGGCGAACGACAAGCGCGCGGGGCGGGGAGGGGCAGCGCACACTTCCGAGCGCCGTGGGCGAGATCTCGGAGCGTGCGTGGCGCCCCCGCGGGGCCGACGCACACACATAGCAGAGGCATGCCTGGACCACGCCGACCAGATGGCTCCCCCCTCTCTGATGGGCCGATTCTCCACCACCGCCACCCTAGGTAGGAGGAGGAGGAGGAGGAGGAGGAGGAGGAGGAGGAGGAGGAGGAGGAGGAGGACCTCCCCATCCCCCATTCTCCCCTATCCCAATTACCCGTGGTAGTGGTGGCGGAAAATCGGTCCCTCAACCTCTCCGCCCACCCACCCTGCGCATCGAGCGTGGCAGCACCCGGGGGGGGGGCGCTGATGGCGGCCCAGACGTCGGACGCTCCATTTTTTTTGGTCGAGGCGCGGGCCACCAGAGAGGTCTGCCAGAAGAGCCCAGAATCGAAACGATGAGTCGGATCGGCGATCGAATTGCATCGGATCGGCGGAAATCGGAAGCCGAGTCGGGAGAAGTCGAATCAGAAGAGATCGGCAGGCTAGGAAGTCTCCATTCAGAAATCGGAATCCAATCCGCAATCCGAAGTCGAATCGAATCGGAATCGGCACTCATCGAAATCGAATCGAATCGAATCGGAGGAATCGAAACGAGCCCTGGTCTGACCACTTTCCCAGGGCCAGTTTTTCGCTCGGAGTCGCTTCTCGACGGTCCTGAGGCCCGTTGAAACCCCCAGAGGCCAAGAACGGCCAAAAACTGGCCGCTCCGATTCTTCGGAGCCCCGGATCTCTGGGGGGATGCCGCGCGCCGGCAACGCGGTCTGGATGCGGCACTGAGCCGAGGCACCCGGTCGGCTCAGCTCTGCGGGTAGGGGTCGGCCCAGCAGGCTGTGGATGGTCTGCGGAGGTCGGGCGCGAAGAGCTGGTCGTGCCTCTCCTAGGAGGAGGTGCCGCGAAGGGGGGCCCCCCTCCTCCTCCTCCTCCTCCTCATCCTCCTCCTCCCTCCTCCTCCTCCCTCCTCCTCCTCCTCCTCCTCCTCCTTTTCCGCCTCCTCCTCCTCCTCCTCCTCCTCCTCCTCCTCCTCCTCCTCCTCGTCCTCCTCCTCCTCGTCCTCCTCGTCCTCCGTAGCCATTTTGGCTCAAGTCCGTATCGGGAGGCTCAGTGACTTGGGAGTGGCAAGGGGGAGGTGCGCCCCCACCTGTGATCCCTGGGCCAACGTCCAGGTTTGTGTGCACACGTGGTTGACAAGCCACTCAGATATTGTAACCGTCACCTTTCTGGCACGCCTTCTCGTTTCAGTGAGCTCCTGGCGGAGCCCATGGGCAAGGATGTCGCCAAAGGCTACCTCTCGTGCTCGAGCTGTCGCTATCGCTGGAACTGGAAGTCGCGCACGCAGTGCTTCTGATGCGGGAGTGCGCTGGTGCCGTTGCCGCGAACGCCGCCGTGGCAGCAGGCCAGAGGTGTGTGGGCGCGGGGGTCAGCAGGCCCCAGCTCGCCCGCCAGGCTCCTGGGCGCCCAGCCGCATGGAGGTGCCCAAGGCGTCGACGCCCCCGCAGCGTGGCGCGAGCAAGCAGTCGGTCGCCGAGCTCCTCGCCCAGCTCCAGCAGCACGTCGGCCACGCCGCTGGCGCGCAGGAGCTGCAAGCTGTGGTGCAGGCGGTGGCGCCGTCCGAGCCTGCGCAGCCTGCGCGGGCGCCGCTGCTGGAGGTGAGACCATCAGCGCGAAAGGTGTGGCCTGCAGGCGGGCTGAGAAGGCCTTGGAGCAGGCGGTCGCGAAGGAGGATGAGGGGAAGCTTTGGCT